CAAGGCCAAACTCAGCAATTTAGGGAGGCCCTAAGCAACACAGCAAGACCCTGTCTCAAAAAATAAAAGGGGTAAGGGATGCATTTGTGGTTCAGTGGTAAAGTGTTGCCTAGCATGTGTGAGGCACTGGGTCCAATCCTCATAAAAATAAATAAATAAAAATAAAATAAATATAAAAATAAATAAAATAAAGGTATTGTATCCATCTACAATTAGAAATTTTTAAAAAAGGGGGGGAATGTAGCTCAGTGGTAAAGCATTGCTGGGTTCAATTCCCAATACCAAAAAATAAATAAATGTCACTTACAAATTTATACAACTGTGTACAGGCAAGAAAATATATATATATATATATATAAGAATGTACAGGTAGGTGCATATGTATGTGTGTATACTTTTTATTGTGCTTATTTCAGTTATACTCTCTGAAACTAATCCAACTAATCCACAGGTAGCTCAAGTATTTAAAGAGTGAGATCATTTGTCACACATCTCCTTAAGCATCTCTAGTGCTTTCAATGACTGCTCCAATAACAAGGTTTCCAAATTTGTTGCCTTTGAACCAACCTCTTTAAGAGTCCTTCTTAAAATGTAGTCTTGAGGCTGGGGATATGGCTCAAGTAGTAGCGCACTCACCTGTCATGYGTGAGGCACTGGGTTCAATCCTCAGCACCACATAAAAATAAAATTAAAGATATTGTGTCCACCTAAAGCTAAAAAACAAATATTTTAAAAATAAAAAATAATTTAAAAAAATGTAGTCTTGAGCCTAATACAATACTACAGATATGGACTGATTAGCAAAACACATTATCTTTCAAGTCAACATGTTTTCAGTGTCTACTTGCCAATGTCCTTTGCAATTTTACCCAGCACACTATTTTTGTCAATCTTGTTCGGTTATAGTGTTGATATAATATGCTCTTGACTTTTTGGGGGGACACTACTAATAATCAAACCTAGGGCCTTGTGTGCATGCTACACAAATACACTTACTACTGGGCAACATTCCCAGCCCCCATGGCTTATTCTGAATTAGCAATGTACTACAAACCCTAGGACCACTCCAAAACAAAACAACATTCTCAGCTAAGTCTCATGTAGTATTGTTCAACTATTTGTTTTTTTGTAATCAATCTCAATTTTTTTTAATATTTATTTTTTAGTTTTAGGTGGACACAATATCTTTATTTTATTTTTATGTGGTGCGGAGAATTGAACCCAGTGCCTCATGCATGCTAGGCTAGCGCTCTTCCTCTGAGCCACAACCCCAGCCCTTCAATCTCAAATTTTTAAGTCCTATAACATTTCATCATTTTTGTGTGTGGTTCTGGGGATTGAACCAAGGAGTGCTCTACCACTGAGCTACATCCCCACTTCTTAGTTTTTTTTTTTGTTTGTTTTGTTTTTTTTTTTTTTTTTTAATTTTGAGGCAGGGTCTCACTGAATTTCCCAGGCTGGCCTTGAACTTGTGATCCTCCTGCCTCAGCCTCCTGAGTTGCTGGGATCACAGGTGTTCACCATTACACCAAAATAAACATTTTGTCTTATTTATTCTTTCTGAATCCTGATTCTGTCATCTGACATAGCAGCTATTCTCCCCCATCTAAAAAGTGATTTGGCCTATATGTCTTATCTTCAAACTTTCTACCTATTTAGAAAATGGAAGTAATCACTGGGCACAGTGGCACATGCCTATATTCCCAATACCTCAGGAGGCTAAGGCAGGAGGATCACAAGTTCAAAGCCAGCCTCACCATCTCAGCAAGACCCTGTCTCAAAATAAAAAATAAAAAGGGCTGGCAATGTGCGTCAGTGGTAGAATGTCCCTAGGTTCAATCCCAAGTACCAAAAAAAAAAAAAAAAAGAATTTTGCCACATACTTCTTTATAAATTGACATACTTAGACTTTCTGGCTATCCACTATCATCACATTCACATCCCTGTCTTGCYTGCTAAGAGATAGATCTCTTGCTGAAATCCTGATACATATTGTCTCTGATCTACTAACTCAATAGAAAGAAARAGAGAAGAAAAAAAGTTCAGTTTCGCTAGGACTAAAGCCTCAGCAGATGATACAACTCYCAATAATCACCTCTAATTCTGTTCAAAAATATCGATCTAATTGCAATTCTGGAATTTGGCAAAAAACTAATGTTAATCTCACCATTCTCTAATTGACTTAAAATTTGTAAGGAGATTAAAAAATAAGGAAATTATTCACTTACTTGAATATAATTGATAAAGTCTTCCTTAAAAAGGGCTCTTCGCTGTATTTTGTATTCTAGATCAGAAGCCTTCTTAATGATAGCCCTGAAGAGAAAATTATTTAAACTGMAACACTTCAAAAAAATAAAACTTAAGTAACTTTAGGTTTCAAAGAATTTTTTTTAATTACCTTGGATATATTTAAGACACATATTAACCAAAACATAATTCCCATATACAATTTTCTTTCACAGGCAAATAATATCTTACACAATTACTTCTGTATTTCTAAGATTAGGATATATTTTAAAATTTTCAGGATAGCCATCATAATTGATTGCCAGGGTATTTGATATTCCTACAAGCAAAACTAATGTTAAATGTTTTATGCTATTTACATATAGTATTAATAAAGACTTATTTTCCTCTAAATTAAGGTTATTAGGTGTTTATTTCTTGTAGACCAGAATTAAACCCAGGGGCTTACACATGCTAGGCAAGGATTCTGCCAAGAAGCTACATCCTAGCCCTCCACACTTAGGTTTTTATAATAATCAAATGTCTATACTAAAATCCTCTTATTCCTATATGTTCAATGTGTAAAATTTTTTTAGAAAACTGTATTGTCTCTATCTAAAAAGGCTTATTACWATTACGGATCTATGGGAGAAGAGTCACCATTCCTTAATTAAGGACTACATGTACAACATGTGTATATTAGGAAAATTTAATGCAAGGTGTGCAGAATATTTAYGTTTAGTAATAACATTTCCTGAACACTAAGAGTCCCCAATGCTATATTCTGTTTCATTAAAAAATACTTTGATTCCCAGTCACATGACTGCATCCAGAGTCATTGTCTACCAAAGAAATAGTCACGGAAACCCACTAAAATTGCTAGAAGTAATTAACAGATTATTGAATGCCAATCTGTGTGTCAGGCGCTGTGGCTAGGATTGGGAGTACATAGGAAACGAAATCAAATGATCCCCCTCTGCCAAGTCTTCCACTCCCGGGCTCTTGCAGCACTCTGCTGACATCTCTACAGAAGTACATTCTACACACCGATTTAAACTGTAACCGAAATGTTTAATTTGCCTGAAATTCTCCCACCATCCAAAATGCCTTCCGGTTTATCACCTTTATATCCCCAAAACCCTGCTCCATGAAGGGCTGTCAGTATACCCGGCGGGTAAATGGACCGACGGAACACCTTGTAAAGTATAAGAATTTAATTCTGGTCATCCCCAAAGCCCGGCACTGGGTTTATACSACGTTAGGAAAAATAAACACAAACCAAAGCATCTCCAGCCCGGTCCGGGCCATACGCACGCCCAACCTCCCCTCTTCCCGCTCCAGCCCTTCCCTTTCCCACCCCGCTCACTTAATCTCCGCACGACTGAATAGTCCAACGCGCTCCAGCTGTTCCAATTCCGGGATTCGATCTTCTATGCGTTCCTGGATTATCTCCGCCATGAGGTCTGCACCGTACGGCCCGGCAGGAAAAATTCAGCAGGCAACAGGCGCAGGAAGCACCCACCTTCTAGTCTCCAGTCCCAACCTTAAAGCCCGCACGTACTGACGAAACGTGCTCCCTACGTCCCGCCTCTTCCGCTTCCGCCGTTGGAAAAGATCCTTCGCCTCTTGGGGCCGCTGTCACCCCCTTGTGGCTTACGGTGGAATTGCAGCRAGAGACCCCCGCGGTCTTGGGCAGGACTCAAGCGGAGGGGCGGGGCGAGGCTGGAGGTGGGACCCCATGCGCGCGCAGCCAGACTCCGGCAGGGATTGAAAAAAGCGCCTCCGGGTCTGGATGATTTACCTGGCGACAGCCCCGCGGGTGCAGAATATTGTCTAGTTTTAACGTGCTCCCATCCCATGGCCCTACTTCCCAACACCAAGATCCTGAAAAATAATTTTTTAAAAAGCTCATAGAGGAAGATATTATGTAAAGGACGTAAACATTTCAAAAAAATCAGTCATGGAAATCGTAGGGGCTGCTAAGGCTGACCCCGCCACCCAAAAGACTTAGTCCTAGCTTTCTGCTAGACTGTAAAATAGTGTGATAACAGTTATTACACTGGGTTCTCATGTGCCAGTTAGAATCCGACTGGGTGATTAAAAAGSAAAGAAATGTCTTATTTAAATATCTTAGCTCTGTAGACACGATCTTTTAAAACACGTGACCCTGCGTASATCAGACACTATAATTTGTTTTAGGAAAGGGGGTTTTGGTATTGAGACACAGACCCTCCTTACACCACCGCCCAAGCAACTTAGCATTTCTAAGAAAACCATCAGGCAACCCAGCTTGGAAGCCATATTGTTAGTGTAATTACTAAACCTAAAAAATAATAATAATAATAACTGCATGGCTCAATTCTTTTTAAGTTCTGGAAGATGATAAAAAAAAAAAGCAGGAATTCTTGCTAAACCTGTTTATTTCAACATTCGCATTAGTACCTTGATCTTCTGTGAATTAATGAAAGGGGAATAGATTTAGCAATTAACCAGGTTCCTCCCTTTTTTTCACTTCACATTTTACCCCCTGGTCTCAGAAATGAGACAAAGGTTGGCTTGGGCTTCATGGTTTCTTAATTCAGTTGTAATATTTGAGGGAAATTAAAGGAATTATGGGTAAAAAACAAAGATGCAGCCAGCCATCGGTGGTTCACACTTGTAATCCCAGCAAATGGGGAGGCCCTGAGAGGGGAGGATTGCAAGTTCAAGCCTGCCCTTAGGGCTGGAGTTGTAGCACAA